TGTGCCATGGCTAAGGTTAATGCTTTCCTCTATCTTTCAGATTTTTAATTTCAATATTCCCTTTTATTGTCTTGCTTTATAATTGTGCCCTTTTCTATTATGTCTACTGTTTCTTAACACCTGGTCCTTGACCATCCATAAAGTTAACTAGCTATCTACAGTGTCTAGCTGCTTAATCAGTTGGAACAGGTACAAAGTACAGCATGCACCTATGCTTTGAAAGTATTCTTGAAAATCTGTGGAAATGACAACACTTCATGACCTCCATTCAGTCTATGTGGGAAAATGTTGTTTAATCTGCTTGCTGTCCCACCATACAATGTCCCTTTGAATTTAATGTAGAATAACTCTTTTTATACCAATTATACAGGCAAGGCAGGAAGTGGGGAGAGGGATGGTGCCCTGACTGGTACTTGGGGATAACCATCTTTTTGGATAAAAAATATTGTGCAAGCAAAAACAGGAAAGCATTATATGATATATAGAGGATGGAGTTTTTCAAACATGGCAAGTTTAAGATGTGTGAACTTCAACTCCCAGAATTCCCCAGCCACAATTCCCCAAAAGACTGTTCTAGGACATTTTGGAAGCACGGTGGAGAACACAGAGTAGGAAGCTCCTGCAAATTAGCAAAATAAACTTAAGAGAAGCTTCAAAGGACTTTGTACATTTGTACATTTAAAGAGGAAGGCAGATACCAAGAGGAACTTACGTTTTGATCAAGAATCGTGCACAGGATTCAATGGTAGCATGTAGACTCCTAAATTCCTTAAGCATGTTTCATTTACTGTGAATGAAAGGGATTTTTCCTCTAATAAAAGAAACCTGTTTCTGCTGAATGTACAATTTTTCAGGTAATACAGTACCACTGAACGCAATGGAAGTTGTGACATCCAGAAGCTGGTGTCTGGAAATAAATAAGCAATATTATTTTCTGCCTCCACAACTTTCTGCAATATTATATTGATATCTAATTAATCTGAAAAACAGTATCAAAGTAGGCCAAGCTACTTTTTTTTTTAAGAAAAAGCCTGAAACATGAGCAAGCCAAACATTTTATGGCATTCTGACTGTACATACATTATGTATATGCGAAGAAACTTTGATGTATATAAAAAGATGCTCATTAATTTTACAGTGAGCAGATGGAGAGGAAAGAACACAGCAGTATGAATGTACTAGCAGAAGTCTGATGGAAAGTGCCCTGCATATACAAAATGAGCTGAGGTGCACTAGATTTTGACCTATCATAAATCCAGAACAAAATCACCCTGACTTGGATGGATTCAAGACACGTCCACAATCTGAGTGAGGTTTCTCCAAAGCAGTCTGGATCCAAATCCAAACCTTTCTAAAAAATCTTGTGGGTAAACTGGAAACTGGAGAAAGATAGTTTGTTTTCAGCAATTGGTTTTCTCCCCAGGCTCTCCCCATGAAGAAAATAACAGCAGAGAAAGAGAAGAAAAGAAGTTCCCATGTCATTTTAGACTTGGCAGCTGTAGCTCCTAATCACGATGAATAGTTTTACCTGGGCTTTCTAATCACAACACTTTGCAGGAGGGATCTTTGATGAATGTCAAGGTCATAAAATGTTCCAGCATTCAACCCTGTTTGCTAATCCAATTTCAGAGAAACAGAATGTTAATATTTGTAGACTTTATTGGGCTAGAAGAGCGCAGCATGGAAAAAACATTTCTGCTTTTATTTTTTCATCCCTCTCTTATCATTTTACAATTTCTATAACTTTTCTTCTAATTAAACAGAATACCCAAAGACAAAAACAGCCCTCTTTCAACTATTTATATTTATTAAAAATCCCAAGCCTTTGAACATACCATAGTGATCTTTTGCAGGTTTCTTAACTGTGCCATTTTCATATATACTGTCACAAAGAAAATAAAACAAAATTAAAGAGCAAAGAGAATTAGCATTTACCATATCCCACGAAGGGGAAAACTCAATGCCATAAAACTCCTGTCACTCTTTTTTTAAAATAATAATAATAAAAAAATAGGTAGATCCATGACCATGCCCAACCCGCCTCACTTGGAAAGTAATGGTGTTTTTTTTTTTTTCCTCTCTCTCTGCATGTGTGTATGAAAAGGGATTTAGGAGATAATTAATTCCTCTTTGAGCAGAAGTGGTATGTTCTACATGGGGCTACCCTTGAAAAATATTAGGAATCTACAACTGTACAGAACACAGTAATAGTTTTGGAGGCCCCACTAATGGTCCATGTGACATTGCTGTTATATGGGCTGTGCTGGCTGCCAGTTTGCTTCTGGATCCAATTCAAGGTGTTAGTCATCACCTTTAAAGCCCTTTATGGCATGGGTCCAAGGTATCTGAGGAACTACCTTACCTCAATAGGACTAACCTGCCCCCCCCCATTCCAGTGGAAAGGGCCTATCTCAAATCCTGTCAGCTAAAGAATTTCAGTTGGCAGAGTCCAGGAGAAGAGTCTTTTTTGCTATGGCTCCCACTATCTGGAATTACTAAAATTCTGTAGAGATTTTCAGTCATCCAGGTCATGATTGTCCCATAGGTGCTTTTTCTGGAGGCAACTGACTTTGTTCTTTTCTTTGAAGACGTTTTGCTTCTCATCCAAGAAGCTTTTTCCCCACCATCCAGTCAGTGCTGAAGAAGCTTCTTGGATGAGAAACGAAATGTTTTCAAAGAAAAAACAAGAAAGTCCAGTTGCCTCCTGAAAAAGCACCTTTGGGACACCCTCTGGAATATTCTCCAATCAGAGGTCACATCCTGCCCCACACTCCTGGCCTTTTGGAAGAGCCTAAAACCCTGGCTCTGCAATTTGGCCTGGGGACCTGACAGGGGGCCAGCTACATTGGGAGTGGCTGACAAGTAGAGAAGATTCTCATCCCCAGGCTGCCTATCATCTTGGTTCTTAACTTTTAATCTTTTTATTCGGACTTTAATTGCTTTTAGCACTATTTGACTTTTTATTGTATCGTAAGCCATCCAGAGTCATTGTGTTAGTGAGATGGGTGGCATATATATTACAATATAAGAAATAGTAATGTGCAATTTTGGAATAGGCATGCTACATCATTTCCTGAACAGACCATTCTTGATTCAGCTATATTCAACAACTGTTGAGTTTCCAATCTTTCCTTGGGGAAAGATTCTGGAGCAGGTGGTAAAATGTTAGCTATTGAAGATCGTGGATTATGTGGTTTATTTAGTCATGGTTCAAACTGGATATGGTGCAGCCATCTGTTGGCATGGGACAAGCTGATATTTAAGCAAGATTAAGTCAGCCTTTAATTACCCCAAAAAAATAAAATAAAATCAGGCCAGGTGATTCTGATACATTTGACAAACAATTTATTACTGGAGACGGTGACGTATTACCTGAAGTGACATATATTTAGCAAGAAGGCCTGAATATTGTATTAAAACATTGTATCTCCACTAATAGCAGGATAAGCTTTCCAATAGGCCTAAATCTTAACCATGGTTGTTTTTAATTTGTTTTTACTGCCAGCATCTACTGTATGTTAATTTTGGTTTTAAAATCAGAAAACATGTTTCATTTTATTTGGTTTGGGATGAGGTGTCATTATGCTGATAACACTCAGTTATGCATCTCTATCCCAGCTTAAGCTAAAGATGTTATGGAAAACTTCAATTGTTTTCTGAAGGCTATGGATGGGATGAAATAAACTCAAATTAAAATCAAGAATTAATGAGTAACTGTCAACATCCTGGCTCCAAAATTGATTCTGTAAAGTTTTATTTCATCAGAAGAAACAGCTAGTTGACCCAAGGGCCCTACTAGATCCATGGCTCTTGCTAGACCAGTAAGTAGGGCCTGTGTACAAAGAAACCTTTACCCACCTTAGCGTACTACATTAGTTCTTAATATGGGTATCCCAGCAATGGTGCCTCATGTCCTTTTCTTCACATGTGTAGGACATGGAGTTGGGATTTTAGATGATAAGGTGGGTTTTTGTGCTTCATGGATTGTGTTCTATGGATTTTCTTTTATTTGCTTCTGTTTGGTTTGTTAACCAATATGAATCTTGAGAAAGGAAAGGTATGAAAATAAATGAAATACAGGTAATTTGTTTCCATGTCTTACTAGCTCCCTGGATATCATTATGTCAAATATCTTAGTAGAAGTGTAGCATTTTCATAATGTGGCTCCAGCATAAATTATTCAGTATGGAATACAGGATTATTTTTCCTACCTATAATAAGGTCTCTTTTCAGTTCCCTACTCAAGTGAAGGATACATTGGATTGACCTTATTTTTATAGCATTGCTTCTAATAAAAATATAATACCCAATGTGATTCCAGGCAGAAAAATTTGAAAGATTTAAAATTAAGAAACTATTACTGAAAAACAACCAGTCTAATTAGAGGCATTGTCTGTGAAATGTATGATTCCTGATTGATATTTCTTTTTAAGAAAGGACACATACTATGTATTAAATAAGGTTTTAAGTAGCTGATTACTTAATCAAAGGCTTCTTTTCAATTCTACCTTGCTCTCTTTTGAAAACTCCAATAATGTAAAATTCACATTTATTGTATGTGGTGTATCTTATAATAGTCACTGAATTCATTTATTGGAACAAGATGAGATATTCAAATAATTTGGTGGGGGAAAGTCATCCTTTTTTTCTGGGAGTATTTTCTAAAAGCAGTGGCATTTTAAATCATTATAAATCAATTGTCTCTGCTCGTTAAAAAAACTAGGAATTCCTGGATATGTATAGTACGTAATTACTTAGAGTTTATTCAGTGTCTCTATATCATGGTGCTTATGCCATTCAATCAGTTAATTAACCTCTTTAATAGAGGCTCTGCCCACAAACATCTCTGCCCAGTTTATAGTTAATTAGCACATGCAAATCCCAGAGCCATACAGCTTCCTTATGATAAGGCTGAATACCCATCTTTTCCCGAATTGCAAAAGATGATGAGTAGAATAGGATGACTGCAGCATGCTTTAATTACTATTCATCAAGTTAACAAGGATGCCATTTAATTGAAACCCCAAATCTTGTTTCAGAGCTGGACAAATATAGGGCAGGATGGTATTAAAGCGAAGGAGAGAGCTCGGAATATAAAAGAAGCAATTGATGCGTGTCTCGTGGTGCTTTAGCTATACAAATCCCAAGGAGGGCAACCGGCAGGGATCATCTTCAAAGGAACTCTGCTGAAATAAATTACGGTTGCAAAAGCGAACACTTATAAAGCAACAGATGGAGATGGATAAAACAGTGAGTAAGTCAATGTAATTCACAAAAAGATCAAGAACAATCCAAGGTTAGACGACTTCCAATTGTCTGGCAAAAGAAAACATTCACTTTGCTGAATCTTTGTAAAAAAAATTTTTTGCTGCTTTTGTTTTATAGCTGCTACTGACTGTCATTGTTTTTCTTCCTCTCTTTTCATTGTCCTTGCTATCTAAGCTCTCAGTGTTTGCACTGAGCCACAGAATTTGATCAATGACAATCTGTGGCTGGCAATTCTTCTGATCCAAAACTTGATTTCTATTAAGGAAGCCTTCCCCCCCACCACCACCACCCTCTTCTTATTTAGTTACAGTCAATGGAGACTTTTTCATTTCTTACTTTGTCTATTTTTCTGTCTCCCTAGTTCTCACTTGCAGGCAAGTAGTATTTCTTGCAGATCATCTAATGCAGCATTATTGCTGTTTTGTTTATAGTCAGCCTGTGGATCTTTTTGCAGCAGCTAACTAGGTGGTCCCTTCTTTCTTCACCTTCCTTGCAGAGACGGCATTTGCTATCAATTGCTACCTTCTCAGTACTGGCTTCATATTCATTTGTTCTTAAGACTTGGTCTTGAGCAGCCAGAATTAAACCCCTCTGTCTCTTCTTCAACTTTCGTGCTCTTAGCCATTGTCAGGTGATGTTGTTATTTGCTTTGCCTATTTTTTTTTTAATGTATTAGCCCTGTAATACTTTGCCTTGCCACGTTTCTTTTCTAATCTTTATTTGGTTTTTCTTTTAAATCAGTTTGGCCTCTCCAGTATTTAGTAATCCTTCATGGTATACTAACTTCAGTGCATCTCCTTCAATGTTCTTCAGATATTCTTCCAATACATTTTCTTCCTCTTCTATTATTTTTATGATTTGTTGCAGAGTCAGACAGATATTCAGACTAGATTTGACACTTTTATCCACCTATTAAGTCCTTCCCAAGGACCTGGGATTGGCAGATGTTGTTTGATGCCAAATTATTATTGTTAGCCTGCATTTTTTCTAGCTTCTGTTAATTCTTCAGTACAATACTATGCAAGCACATGGTCTAGAACTTCTGGGGTCCATAGTGCAAGATCTCCTAGAGCTAATAATTTACTTGCTAATTATTGTATAAAAAAAAAAAAAAAAGCTCAACACATATTTCATGGTAGCTCTCCCAAATCCTTGATGCTAGCTCCGAAGACCCCTCAAGTTTTATTACCAACATTTGTCAGGAAACCCATTTATTACTGTACACTGCTAATGCAATGACTAAGATGTACAACTCATATTGAAGTTGTCCAAGTGCAGGGGAGGAATGGACAGTTTCTCTTGATCATTCATTCATTCATTCATTCATTCATTCATTCATTCATTCATTTATTGGACTACTGTTTACTTGGAATGGGTCAGGGTAGGTTGGAAAAAAAGCTTCTTTAAATCTACTTTTCTCTGCTTAGCCACTTCTTTTAATGTTTTAACCTGGTCTCTATTCTCCAACCATCTCACTTTTCTACCCATTTCATAAAACATTGCAACATTATAAAGAGCACAAAGCTGACAAGATCCCAAAGCCATCGGTAACAAGTTTCCCATTGTATCTTTACTGTGCCTTCACTTTTCCTTGATTTATGAAAGGCTAAGGTTTTTAAGAGATGCCACTTTCTCAGGCCTATAGAACTTCCTGTTTATTTTGTCTGATAAGTGACTTTTTGATCTGTTTAATTTTTTTTTATGCTGATCTAATTACAACCATGAATGATTGTGTGCCATTATATTTTGATCTTATGCTCCTAGTGCATAAAAGAGATAAGGGAGAGCGATGTCCTATTTCTTATGAATAAAATTTTGTTCTATTTCTTATAATTAAATTAAATCCAAATTTCACAATTATCTAGTTAATCTGTGGGTCTGATTTTCACATGTTCACAGTATGCATTGACAATGTAACCAGTGACCTCTCTTTTAAGAACCTTCAATATAAAAAATACGTTCTAGACTTATTAGTAATTGCCAATCATAAAGAGACCATTGTCCCAAGAAAATGATAAATATTTGGATAATGATAAATAATACAGTTGGCTGCTGCTTGTTCATAATGTTAGGTATGACAACATGTGTGGCTTATTTGGGCATCCTAAGGAATTTTGACCACCAATTCTGACTCTGGAGAAAGCCATAAGGCAATAGGAGAATTTCATACATTGCTTGATTTTATATGTTTTAGTACTGAATATCCATCAGTGGCCAAGCCATTTGCTTTCTATGATTATCCAAAAAGATATTAAAGTGATGACTCTCCCGTTTTTTTATTCCAAATATCTGCAGTTCAAATGAAGACCTACTCACTTACTAGAATTTAGCATTATCAGTGACAGTAGGCATTGGGGAAAATGCTAATTATTTAATTCCTTTAGAATCTCATTTAAAAGCATAACCATTTCTGTATTTTCTAAAAATACTGAATATGAGTAGTCCTCAACTTGTGACTAAAACTGAGCCTCAAATTTCTGTTGCTAAGTGAGACATTTGGTAAGTGAGTTTTGCCCCATTTTACAACCTTTCTTGCCACAGTTGTTAAGTCAATCACTGCAGTTGTGAGGTTAGTAACACCATTGCTAAATCAGTTTGGCTTTCTCCATTGACTTCGCTTGTCAGAAGGTGATCACATGACCCTGGGACACTGCAACCATCATAAATATGCGCCAGTTGCCAAGCATCTGAATTTTGATCATGTGACTATGGAAAAATTGCATGGTCCTAAGTGTGAAAAATGGTCATAAATCACTTTTTTCAATGCCATTTTAACTTTGAATGGTCACTACACAAACTGTTGTAAGTGGAGGACTATCTGCATTGTACATGAGAGGAGATAATTTTCATAGAAATTAGAAAATTCTAGGAAGACATTTTTAAAATCTTCCTTCCTGACTCCAGTACAGATTTCTCCTTTAGGTGACATGGAAGATTTAGCCTGGTCTTTAGCTAAATAAATTCCTCAAATTCTAGTGAATGATAAACAGTGGACAAACTCACTTGAAGGGAAATGAAATGATCTAATTTCTTTATCACTGTGATTTGTAAAATTATGAGATACGGAGAAGTTAGCAAAAATAAAATATCCAATTAAGGCAATGTACACATAGAAATTAAACAAGAAACATCTATTTTAGTTCTCTTTAGAAATGTCTGTGGAATTCGTTTCTTTTCCCTGTCATAAGTATTTGAAGAGATTTTGTCAAATAAGTTATGCATAATAATTATGGATAATAATTGTTACATATTATACTGCCTAATAGACTGTAACTGTTTAATTTTATTGGAATTTGCCTTCACTCATTTTTATGTGTCTGGAATATCTTTCCTTGATTTCATTTTTGCTATTTATCGGGGCTGTTACTTCTAAATTGTATATATAAAATTTAAAAAGCAAGCATTCAGCCCCCTTTGGCAATCTTATTCCTTTCAGAAATTTAGGAGGATTCAGCCAGCTCTAACAGTTATTTATTCTTTATGCAGATGATTGGATGGGATAGGATAGGAAAACAGACTCATTCTTCAGGCTTTTTCAAATGCTATAGAACAGTGATGGCGAACTTTTTCGGCACTGAGTGCCGAAAAGGGAGCACTTCGTGCATGCTTGTCAGGGCCACGACCAGTAAGAGGAGCTGCCCAGGGGTCATGCGTGTGCCGAATAAGGTACTTCCAATTTCCAGCGCATGCATGGCACCAGCAAGCATGTGCCAATCAGCTGGCCAGTGTGCATGCTCATGCTGGAAACTGGAAGATGACATCTTCCTGTTTCCAGGACTGCCACATGCACAAAGGCCAGCATCGCGTGTGCATACGTGCCAGAAACCCTGAAGAGGAACAGGCGATGCCGTGCGTGCCAGGCGACATGGCTCCACGTGCCACTTCGGACATGCTAGGTTCGCCATCACAGCTATAGAATAAAAATCAGGTCAACTGTTCATGGATCTCCTCTGATTGCCATGCATAGTTAGTGCAATTGTCCAAAGTCTGCCAATTTCGCTACCTGTACAACAACCTAGAAATAGGATACTGAGATGATAATACCTGTAGCCCTTTCGTTTTCCATGATTTGAAATTTATAACTCAATTATAAATAAATCAATAAATCTATTAAATAAATAAATATTTAACAGATCTGTGACATTATTCATACAATTAGAATATTCAATACATTGTATACATTCTATTTCTAAACATTCTGTTCCTTTATATACATTTCCATTCCTTATTTCTATTATCTATCCATTCATACCATTTCTCCCATACCGCATAATATTCTGAATCATCCTTTCCCTTTAACTCTAATGTGAGTTTGTCCATTTCTGCATATATTTTTTGAATTACTAATCCCTCCGGCGGTATACTATCTTTCTTCCAATACTGTGCAAAGACAATCCTTGCTGCCATTAATATACAGTATGTAAAGAGAAAAAGTCAATAAAAAAATAAAATATATTTAAAAAAAAAAAGACTGTAAGCCATCTAGAGTCATGTTGGCAAGCTGGGTGGCATAGAAGTTTAATCAGTCAATCAATCAATCAATAAAATAAGGCTTCATGTTGCTTACTATTGACTTTTTTTCCCCCTCAAAGAGTCTTAAAGCAAGTCAGAACCTATCCTTACCTCTGTTTAAATCCCTTCATTCTCAGTTTTTCACAAGTCTCTGTGGCTTGATCCTTGTCAATGTTTTCTTAACTTCAACTGTCCTCTAGGTTGACAAAGACCTCTTGTGCCCTGAAGAGGTTTTGCCATACCAAATGAAACATTTCTTTCAGGGATGACATTTAAGAACATGGCACTCCGCAGGCAAGATCATTTATTTAATATAGCACAAAGAAGCTTAAACCAGTAATGTAGTGACACACCAAATAAAGAGATGATGCATGTAGCTTTATGACTGCTGTAACAGCAACTGCTCTGCCATATCAAGGAAAGGAATAATGCTATAACTGTCAATTACATGCAAAGGTACGAAAAAGTCTCCTTGTCAAACAATTTATAAGAATAAAAGCTTTGGGGTAGTTAAGTTTTAAAGGAATGGTTTAAAATATCACACAGATACAAACACGCACCCACAATCATCAACATTTCTAATTAGTTATGCATTTCCTCATGGAGGTTACTTCACAGATATAAATGCCTTTACTAACATTTATGGCTTTTGAAACAGGAAATGGAAGAAATGTGCAGAAACTGCACTGTGACAAAAATTCTTTATCTCTACTCAGTCCATAGTAAAGTGTGCTAAAATGATGGATGAGAACTACTGCTTTTCCTCTCAGTCGTCACTGATTTCCTATCAGCGGCAAACCAGACAGTACTGCTACAGTAACCTGTGTTTATGTGTTGTTACTTAAACCAGGTAGGATTCCAGTCAAGAAGATATGAGAATGCAGTTGGATGAAGCACTGGGCTTGCAGGTCATGAGGTGAGGCAGAGCCCGTACATTGATTCTGCTAACTTGCAGTTTGTGAGTCTGCTTTTATCCTAGCTGCTGTTTTGATTTGTGTTATATTTTCTTTTTCTTTATGTGTTTCTATGTGTGTGTAATTTTTAGTTGTTTAGAGTCATGAATAAGTAAATTAAAAAGTAGACTAAAATAGCTATTTCTGAGAAATCCTTCTCTTTAAGTCATAGAGTGGTCATTACAAGTAAATCCTTTGTTTCAAGGTTGCCACTTGGAAATCCATCATGAATATAATAAAAAGGCCTCCCTCCCTCCACCGGCTACCTACCTTATCTCTCCGTGGGTGGGACCCTGTGCATCCTGTGCTGGCATAGAATTAGTAACATCATGTATACCTTAGGTACAGTGGTAGAATTCAATTTTTTTTTACTACTGGTTCTGTGGGCGTGGCTTGGTGGCCATAGTGTGGCTTGGTGGGTGTGGCTTGGTGGGCGTGGCAGGGGAAGGATACTGCAAAATATCCATTCCCATCCCACTCTGGGGCCAGCCAGAGGTGGTATTTGCCGGTTCTCCAAACTACTCAAAATTTCCACTACCGGTTCTCCAGAATCTGTCAGAACCTGCTGAATTTCACCCCTGCTTAGGTATGAAAGCTGGTTGTGTGACTTTGGGCCAGTCCTCTCAACAGTTCAACAGGATCAATAGTTGGTTGATCTGAAAAAAAGTGGACCCTACACTTGTAGGAAAACCCTAGGCAGAAAAAAAGGCAAGTCTTCCAACTGCAGATGGCTTCTTGTCCCTTTTCCCTTGTTCTCAATATTGTTTTATTTACCTTCTATTTGTGAGGGCAGTAGAAGTTTCCACCTATCTCACCCCTTATTCTTCTGTTAAGTAATGGGGAACTTGTGGTTCAAAGAGGGATTTCAAGAAAATGGGTACCCAGGTTTGTTTCTTTTTAAATTTTTCCAATTTAGCCTAAAGTCCTGAGATTTCCAGAGAGTGCCCACTCTAAATATGGGAGAAAATGAGTAGCAGCAGTATCTTTCAGTATGGTTGGGAGGTAACTGAAGGAGAAGGGCTAGTACAGTGGGAGAAATTAGTGCAGCTCGTTTTTAGTGCAAAACCAATCTTATCTGCATTTTTCAAACTGATTCTGCAGCAATTAAATCTCTACAAAGGGAACTGTGCTCAAATATGCATGCATTTTGACACATATATTCTCAATCTGTGATTTTATATCCTTTTGTCATTCCTCCAATGTATTCATTTTTTTCTCCAGTGTATCCATTTTAATAGGCCTATTAATGTGTACCCCTCTGTTTTTCACTTATAATCAGTTAAATTAGCAGAACATGCTGAGTATCAAAATATGACAACCTGAGTGTAGATGGTTATAAATCAAGTCTAAAGGGGTACTTACTTTTCAGGTATATGGATTTATGTTGATTTAGAGCAATATGCCTATGTATGCATTATCTACACACTTGTCACTTGGTACTTGATGCAAGCAGTATCTGCATAATGTGTTTGATGTGTAACAATGCAATTACTCTAATTCCCCAGTGTGCCTCTGGAATATCTGAACTGAAAATTACAGTGATACTACAATGATTGAAAAGTGAAGCTTCTCTCAAATCAAGCTCACCTTCTGCTGACTTATCCATGATTTCAGTCCCCCCCTCCACCATTTTTCTTTTTCTTCTTTGAATATAGAAGTTGCTTATTATTGGCCATTTCCATACCAATGACTTACAGTAACTTGATAGGATCACCCAGCAATGGTAATCACTGAAACAATTTCAAGCCTATCTGTATTACTGTTACTTAGTTACAACAATAGTTGGATATGTTTAGAGATAGTGATAGATCCTAGTGAGAAATTGCAATCTCCATTTGCAACGAAGGTTTGTTTCTTTTTAAATTAAAAGGAGCCTTGGTAGTACAGTGGTCTAAAGCACCCTGTTATTAAGACCAGCTGCCTGCAATTACTGCAGGTTCGAATCTCGCCAGGCTCAAGGTTGACTCAGCCTTCCATCTTTTCTAAGGTAGGTAAATTGAGGACCCAGTTGTGGGGGCAATAAGCTGACTTTGTAATACATATACAAAAGAATGAAGGCTATTGCTTAGCACATTGTAAGCCGCCCTGAGTCTCCGGAGAAGGGCGGCATATAAATTAAATTTAAAAAAAAATCCAATTTAGCCTAAAGTCCTGAGATTTCCAGAGAGTGCCCACTCGAAATATTATAGAACTGTCCCTGCCTCGATTTTTCATTTCTACTTCTGCCTAATTTAATATATAAACATCGCCCTGTATTATATTTTTTACATATAGAATGCTCACTACTGTTATTACCATAGAACCATCATCAAAGAACATAGACAAGATGAAATTGCTCAATTTGTAAGGTTTTTGTTGTTGTTGTTGTTGTTAATGCTGCTTAATAAATTTTTATATCAATTAGGTCTACTCATATTTTTCTAGACTACAAGTTCTGCTCAAGGCTTATTTGTGCACATTCTCAGTCACATGTTAGTATCACAATTGTTCAAAGGGACATTGTATCTAGTGTGCTCTTTTTGGATGAACATAGTCTAATCTGTCACCCTGTTCTATCCTTAGATATCTACAGGATTATGGTTCAACATCAGAGATACATAGTTTGGACTTTCTTAAATACGTATCTCTCTGGTTCCAGGTGGCATCTTTTTTGTTTGTTTGTTTGTTTTGTATGCAGTGATCCCAAAGTAATTGTAAAAATATCAAGAAAAGCTACTGGTGTGACTTAGACAGTTCCCCAGGTCAATTTATTATTCTAGCTCAAGCAACAACTGAAGCCAGCTTTTCTTATACTATATAATAGAGTTAATGAAGACTGACTGCAGAATACTTATAACCCTCATTCATATTCACAGATATATGATTCTTTCCCATTTTTTTTTTTTTTTTTTAGTCTTCAGAATCAAGCTTGGAACAAGTAGCTAAACCATAAACTACAAACTACAAAAGCAACAAATTTTTTTGGGAGGGAGCCAAGTTACATTTTACTAATGTTTTTTTCCCCCTTTCATTCATGGTATTTATTGTGCCACTAAGTTGAAAATGTATAGACTAAATTTAAATTCAAGCTTGACCAAGTAACTTTTTTCTTTTCTTCTTTGCATTTATATGCTAGTTAAACCTCACAGTATACAAAGATTTAGTGGAGACAATGCTTTGACTTGGACAGAAGCCACAGTTAAAATGTGATGCCAGAAAAAGAGCAAAATTTACCACCATTAATTGCACTGACAGAATAAACTGGGAAAGGAAAAATGAAACAAGCATCCTTCCTGTCGCACCCAGCTTGCCAGTATATTGCTGGCAGGGCTTTCTGAACGTCAGAATTTCCAGTGGTAGAAGTTCTAAGTGAAGATTACCCTCTCAGATAGGGTAATTTACAATTTAACAACCAAATAGTACCATTCACTAACTAGAAACAAAAACTTCTGACTGTATTTATTCTTTTATACCAACTCAGAGCCAAGATAGCACTTAAGAAAAGAGGAGGAAAACTATTTTATGTATAGCATCAGGGTAGAAATACAGAAAGCCAATACGGGATGATCAAAACAGAGAAAAATCTCTTTGCTGCTACCTAAGGGTAGGTCAGATTTTTGCTAACTGAATTTGGTAGACCTAAAGACATGACTTCATTTTCATCCCATTAGTCATCAGGCAATGAATGACACCATTGACAGTTTCTAAAATTCTTCCTAAAGGTCTTTACCTTGAACTAGCTTCTACTACTCAAGATAATCCAATTCTCCATGAGCAGGAAGCCAGGAAAAGGGTAGAGGTTTGAAAAGGGAATTCCACTTGACAGCTGATGCTTCAGAAGCAGGGGTGAAATGCTTCCGGTTCGGACCAGATCGCCCGATCGGGTAGCGATGGTGGCGGGTGATTTGGAGAACCGGTAGCAAAAATCCCTGTGCCCCCTCCCATGCCCAGCTGAGCCGCGCAATCATCAGAGACTGTTTTTTATTTTTACTTTTAAAAGCATTTTTTCTACAACCTCTTTGGTGGAAAATATGCTTTTAAAAGTAAAAAAAAAAGCCTCTGATGATCATGTGGCTCAGCTGGGATCGTCAGAGGCTTTTAAAAGCATTTTTGTAGAAAAAAATGCCTTTAAAAGCCTCTAATGATCCCAGCTGAGATGCTTGATCGTCAGAGGCTTCTAAAAGCATTTTTCTGCAACCTCTTAAGGTTGTAGAAAAAATGCTTTTAAAAGTAAAAAAAAAAGTTGGCCACACCCACCCAGTCACATTACCCCTCCCCCACCAAGCCACACCCACAGAATCAGTAGTAACAAATTTTAGATTTCACCCCTGCTCAGAAGTGAAGATCTCTCAAACAAAGCCGCCCAGAGTCCCTTGAGAGTTGGGCGGCATAGAAATGCGACAAAATAAATAAATAAAATCTGGATCATGGAATAGAGGTTTTCCTTCCTTGTTATAATACAAAGTTTCTAGGTTGCATTTGACTTGGTGGGCCAAATATTCTACAAGCAATCTATTGACCTAATATCATTCATGTGCCAGCTCTGTATATAGCACATTGGAGTCAATTTCCAAAAAGAGCTTTGGAGCACTTGGGAATACAATTGGAGTATCTCTCTACAAGATGAGTCTTTTCCCAGCTAGCTTCCACTGCCACATAATCTGAAGAAAAGGCATGGCTGCTTTAATCTGTCCGGGAGATAATTGCAGTCCTATTATTTATTGTGGTTTAATAAAGTTAAGATAAAATATTCAGTCCAGTTTTTTGTAACAACATCACCAAAAAGGCATTAAGAGTTGTAACCTAATCTTGCGTAGCTTATTCTCCAGTACTATCACACTACTAACCAGAGCATATAAAACATTTGCTAGACCAGTTCTTGAATACAGCTCATCTATCTTGAACCCGCACTGCATATTGGACATTAATACAATTGAATGTGTCCAGAAATATTTCACAAGAAGAGTCCTCTACTCCTTTGCTTGCAACAAAATACCATATGCCACCAGACTTGACATTCTGAACTTAGAAAACTTAGAACTACGCCGCCTTTGGTATTACCAAAGTGTAGTTCATAAAATTATCTGCTACAATGTCCTACTTGTCAATGACTACTTCAGCTTCGACCACAACAATACACAAGCACTCAATAGATACAAACTTAAGGTAAACCGCACAAAACCTGCAGAAAATATGACTTCAGCAACATAGTGGTCAATATCTAGAATGCACTACCTGACTCTGTGGTTTCATCCCAAAACCCCCAAAATTTTAACCTAAGACTGTCTTTCTTTCTTTCTTTCTTTCTTTCTTTCTTTCTTTCTTTCTTTCTTTATTTATTTATTTATTTATTTATTTATTTATTGGTTTGATTTATATGTCGCCCTTCTCCAGAGACTCAAGGCGGCTTACAATGCGTTAAGCAATAGCCTTCATACCCCCTCCCCCCAAGCGGTGTTCTTTTTATACAAAGTCAGCTTATTGCACCTACAATCCGGGTCCTCATTTTACCTACCTCAGAAGGATGGAAGGCTGAGTCAACCTTGAGCCTGGTGAGATTTGAACTTGCAGTAATTGCAGGCAGCTGACAGCTAAGTGCTACTTAACAGCACTTTAGTCCACTGCGCCACCAAGGCTCCTATGCTTATACTTATTACCAATCCATGCTTATACTTATTACCAAATATGTTCTTGACAAAAATAAATAAAATAAAAATATATTTAACTTAGTTTTGGGATATTGTAAGTAATAATTTTTCACTGTGGCTTTAGGGCGCAAGAGGGACAATATAATAATTTGTAAATTCAGCTCTGAGTAAAATTGCACTAATGCTGAAAAGCTGGCATGTAAGAGAATTAGAAGTTATTCATCGCTGCAATATTCTTTAGAACAGGGTGAAATGATAGTCTGACTTCTATAGCAGAAAGTGATTTTTGGATGACCAAAAGTTAGCAGCTGCTTCTTAAGAGCTGCACACTAAAAATATAAAACATCCAGAATACATGTTCAAAATGATGGGACTTTTTTTTAACAAAATCATTCTCGCTTTCTCTTGCAAGGAGATTTGGGCAACAATTTACAGCTCACTAACTCAGCAGTGATTCTATTAACTTTAATAGACTTGCTTTGGAGTAAAAAAAAAAAAAAAAAAGCACACCAGCCTCTTTAAATTCCTGAAACACTAGTCAATCGGTAGAGCTTCAGTATTTGCTGGCTAAAACTGTGGATTTCAAATAACTTGATCAATAATAATGAGATTTTGAACAGAGCTACTGTATCATTCTTGATAAAAAAAGAAAGAAAGAAAGCTTTACCCATCAAAACGATAAATGTCTTGGCAGTTCTGTCAATAGAGAGAATCAATCAGTTCTAATAATTTAAAAGCCGTATACTGAGCAAGCACTTAGATGTATCTAAAGAGCTTCATGAATCAAACCTATAGAGTAGTGATGTTGCTTGATAATTATGACCACAACAGCCCAAGGGCCTTATGCTTTTGAAAAATGATAAGGCTGTAGAAAGATAATAGGGTTTCTTCCTGCAATTCTTTTCGGAAAATTGAAGGTGAGGAATCACTGCCACATTGGGGATTCATTCCATGGTCATTTTGGCCAGAAAGGCCATTTTTACATTGTTTGAAAAATCAAAATGCTAGAGATGAAGTCATGGATGCTTAACTGCAGTTGTAGACATTTGTGGGCTTTACAATGAGTAATTATATTGCTCCACTTTGAATGGAACTATCATATC